AGAGGGTACAACGGACGACAGATAGCATACTTAGTACTCGTAATCATTTCTAGGCAACCATAGTACTCCTGTTCGTTTCATATCGCAGAGTTTGTGCTTGTGAAAATAGCTAGTTCAGAAGGAGAAGTGGTTGTATCTCAAGCGAGCAATGGCAGTACCACACCAGACGCAAGGCAACGAGCAAACTGCTTGCCAGTGACTGGCCAGGGAATGAGTTGCAACCATAAGGAAGATGGAAATGTCTAGCTCCATGTCCATGTCCATGTGCAACTGCTAGTCTAGAGAGAACGTCAGTATCTTATCGAAGTGTAGCTACTTAATGACCCAGATAAGGTAAGTTGAGAGGAACCAGTCCCAATCGGGCATGCAACGCGACGGGGTACCCCAAATTGAGTCTTTACTGGGGTACATGTCTATTACTGACCGGCAGGCGGTTTTTCCGGCAATGGGCCACACTGTCTGTTGGGGGGCTCTAACCGAGAACGACTCCGTGATGGTCGATCTGTAAGACTGTATCACGTCGATATCCATGGATCCGCATAAGGGGTAAACTGAATTTGTAGCCCTCGAACCCCGCAATTTGTAATGAAATAATGGTGAGACCAAGACAACTGTCATCCAGAAGAGAGAGAATACCTACTGATCGTGTAGTAGAAACATCTCGGACATAAGATCCATCAACAACTCTTGTCTAAAGGCCTGAGGTCTCTTAGTGCGGGGAAGAGTGCCTCCCAATGAACGCTAAGAACAAGTCAAAATCGACATCATGCGCCTGTCGCGTGTGGTTCGGCAAGGTTCCAGTGATCCCAAAAAGCCAAAGGTTGCGAGCTCCAGCCCCTGTTCGTTGAGGACGCGAGGATCTGCACAAGCGTCATTAGTAGAACCGCGGTGCTGGTTTCTTATACCGGGGGCCCCCCAGACCCTCCACATGAACAGATCTACTAATTCACATGCCGAGGGCATCCACATTGATCTTCTAGGCTTCAGACCATGACGCCACAAGAGCTGAAACATAAAATAGAGGCCATTCCCCAGCCAAAACCCCCTCTTGGATGAAGTAACCACTTACAAACAGATAATAGAGAGACCACAAGCGAGAGGCCAACATGGCAACCACAATGCGCAATCCCAAAGACTCCATGAAGTCTACATGGCGCACTGAGAAGGGCCAGTGGACTGTGTTCCATTGGTTCTATGAGGTGCTTGGCATACATCCTACTGCCCTCGACCAAGACGTTCCGGTCCATACCAAAGACGACAAGGTGCCTTTCATGACAGAATGGCAAACTAACCGCTGGGTCCTCTTTCATGCCACGATACCCTTTGCCATTCACTGGGCCTATGTTGCCTATACAGGTCGCAACATAACCCCAATCGCCGCCTTCATTTTCTACAGCGCGGCGTTCAAGGCGATTGCCATTCATGAGTTGCACATCCTCCGCCGCCTCGGCCACAGTCTTGGGTTTTTCGACGGCGACAAGCATGAACGAGACGGCGTACCTGATGTTGGTGTCGCAAAAGTCGTTCAATCACTTATCTCGACATCCACCTTCCGTCCGATGTTCACAGTCTTCCTGAGCTACCGGACCGCCCTACCACCTTCCTCTATCAACTGGGTTTGGCTACCACTTGAAATTGGCCTTTATGGCATCGTTCTGGACTTTTGGTTCTATTGGTACCACCGTCTCATGCACGACGTCGGCAGCCTCTGGAAATACCACCGCACTCATCACCTCACCAAGCACCCAAATCCGCTTCTGACGCTTTATGCGGATAGTGAGCAGGAGTTCTTCGACATTGCGGGCATTCCTATAATGGCCTATTTCAGCCTCAAGCTCATGGGCCTCCCTATGGGCTTCTATGAGTGGTGGTTTTGCCACCAGTATGTGGTCTTTTCAGAACTTGCCGGGCACAGCGGGCTTCGCCTTCACACATTTACACCATCGACACTGACTTGGCTTCTGAGGCTCTTCGATGCTGATCTGGTCATCGAGGATCACGATCTCCACCACCGCTATGGCTGGAAGAAGAGTTACAACTATGGCAAGCAGACACGCCTTTGGGATCGCATTTTTGGCACATGCCGTGAGCGCGTCGAAGCCAAGCCGGAAAATATCGATTACGACAACAAAGTTACGCTGCCTCTGTGGTGAGCGCCGGTCTCACGAAGAGCACTTCCTTCTCTTTATGACGTAAAGCCTTCGTTTTCTTGTTGGACAGCTTCTTAAATCCATTGTTGTACAAAGGCGTTGGGTGGTTAAATGCTTGGAAATCGGTGCCGCCCCTGGAAAGGACTAAACTTTTTTGACGCATATTTGATGATCTAGAACTATTTGTGTATGCATGTAATGAAACTTTCTGACCTTATCCATATCGCGTGGTCGAATAATGTCCGTAACATAAGCCACAATTAGCCACAATCCACACTAGCCACGACCGATTACCTCCGCATGGAAGCAGCAAAACATTGGGACGACGCCAGGCATAGATAAGCATGATGCATAACGCAAACAATACCCAGTTAATACAAAACCTCAGGAACAGGCCATATACCTCATTGTCATGTCTAATTTCACACACTCGTCCTATGATCATTGTTGAAATCCTTTGCTTCGTCTAGCCCGCAGAGTAGTTAGGCGGGGCTACTGAGATCTGCCCCTCGATCTGGAGCGCTGGATTGAAGAGTTAAGCCATTTTTCTGGTTACACACTGCGCAAAGCTTTCTGTCAGACATGTATGTCTACTATTTGATAGTGTCTCGTACATGTGTGCGGAAACAATTGGCTTGCTTGCAGAAATGCTAACGCCACGTTCCTTTAGCTCCCTTTAAACCCCTGATACCGAACCGCCGACTTTAACACCTCGACCTAACTCCCCCATCGCTCTCCAACTCTGACGTCGAGCTCCTGATTTCCACTATGTCCCCTCTTCCCCCAGCGGTAACGGCCCTGTCGGCTCCGGGCAAGGTCCTCCTCACTGGAGGTTATCTGGTCCTGGACCGCAGCTACACTGGGACCGTGTTCGCCCTCGACGCCAGAATCCATGTCATTGTCCAACAATTGAGAAGGAACCATCGCAGAGAGCACGCCTCGGGATCCGCGCAGGGTCAGTCGGACGCGCCTCAGGCAGAAGGCAATGGTCGTGGAGACAGGGAAGAGGAAGACACTATTGTCGTACACTCCCCACAGTTCGTGGATGCGGTATGGGAGTATAGCATACAAAGATGCGAGAACGGCGGAGGAGTCCTAGTGAAACAGAGAAATGAAGGGTAAGCAACAATATCCTAGTACCACAAGTGCTCAGGAGCTGACCCATGTAGGCCACGCAATCCATTTGTCGAGACCTCTTTGAACTTCGCCTTGACTTACATCAGCTACGTGGCGGACTCTAAGGATTTTGGATCACTATCGATTACTATCCTCGCCGACAACGATTACTACTCCGAGACGGCTTTCTCCAAAGCTTCAGGGCTCCAGTCGTCAAGCAGATTCGTGAACTTCGGTGTTCGCCTTCAGGAGGCACACAAGACGGGGTTGGGCTCTTCAGCCGCCTTGGTCACTGCCTTGGTGTCTTCTCTCGTCATCCACCGTACTATGCAGCCGGACGATCTCGGTCCAGGCCGCGACAAGCTTCACAATCTGGCTCAGGCGGCCCACTGCGCTGCCCAGGGTAAAGTCGGGTCCGGCTTCGATGTTGCAACTGCCATTTACGGCTCCTGTCTCTACAGACGCTTCTCCCCTTCGATCCTCGAATCAGTTGGTGACGCTGGCTCTCCGGGCTTTGAAGAGCGGTTGTTTTCGATTGTGGAAGACGCCGACCCCGAGCATCCTTGGGACACCGAATGTCTGGATTTCGGCATGAAGCTCCCCCGGGGAATGCAAATGGTCTTGTGTGACGTTGAATGCGGCTCGCAGACTCCTTCCATGGTGAAGAAGGTTTTGGAATGGCGGAAACAGAATCAGAAGGAGGCTGATATGCTCTGGGGCGCTCTGCAATCGAACAACGAAAGACTTCGGCTGGAACTCAGACGATTGGCACAGAGCCCGGACGAGCATGGCCTCAGTGACTTTGAAAACGTCCGCACCTTCATTCAGCGCTCGCGTAACCATATCCGTATCATGACTCAGAAATCTGGTGTCCCAATCGAGCCGCGCGTCCAAACAGAACTACTTGATGCCTTGTCCGAGCTTGAAGGTGTCATTGGCGGTGTGGTTCCAGGAGCAGGTGGCTACGACGCCATTGCGCTGCTCATTCAAGACAGTCCGGAAGTGATCAACAGATTGAATGCGTTCTTCGAGACATGGGAGAGCAAAGCGGAGGATGATTTTGGTGGCAAGATTGGCAAAGTCAGGCTTCTTGGCGTCCGCCATGGATCAGAGGGAGTCAAGAACGAGATGCTCGACCAGTATGCTGGCTGGGTGTAGGGGTAAGCTTTCCGCACTCCGCCTTGAAAAGTGACTATAAGATCGACTGTATGCGTTCGATCTTGTTAGATTACTCCCTTCTCACCTTAGCTAGTGATGGATGATGATGGCATGACAAATAGCATAGCATGAGCGTGATCGCGATGGCATTACTCAAGCGCGAAGCAAAGATTTCAATTTTAATTCTCATATTATTGCCTAAGCTCCTAACAATTGGACTCATTGGACTGGCCCTGCCAGAAGAGCAGACTGGCACAATTAGCAATCGAGACTCATATAACCTACGTTCTTTTACAATAGCAGCAAGCTCTTTGGTCTACGGGAAGCTAACATGACGATCTCATCAGCGAATAAAATTTTCAGAAATTTTTGAGAAATTTTTATCACGACTAACTCCCTATTCCGAGAGGAGCTGAGTTCTAGATTTTCGGTATCTTCATTCTCAGCATTCATATCAGACATCCAAACACGCCGTCAGTACACCTCAAGGAGCGCCTCAAAGTGACCGGACGCCAAACTCCTCGACTATAAATCATTAATCATGTCATTCACAGAACGCAGCCCCAACCAGCCGGTTTATAGCTGAGTAGGCTGGAAAGATGAAAACTCCGCCGTCGCCGCCGGATCCGTCTCCATAACTCTCTCCTCAGACTTCTCATTATTGTCCAGAATCCCATACTCGGCGGCCTTGGCCTCGATCTCCTCGTCCGAAAGCCGCGGCAGCTCCCTCGCAGCACGCACGTAGTTCATTTTCTCCACGTGGCCCTTGGCGAAAATCAGATCGATTTCCTCGAGACTCCGGCCCGCGGTTTCGGGGTAGAAGAACCAGATGACGGGGATGAAGAAGGCATTCCAGGCCGCGAAGAAGAGGTACGTGCCCCAGCCGATGTGCTCGATCATCACGGGGGTGATCATGACGACGGTGAAGTTGAAGAGCCAGTTGTTGCAGGTTGAGATGGCGTTTGCCTTTGCGCGGGTTTTGAGAGGGGAGAGTTCGGCAGGATATAGCCATGGGAGGGGGAGCCAGGTCGCGCCGAAGAAACTTCATGTGGAATCAGTACAAACTGGGGAAGTTTCAGGTCGGGAAAGGAGCAGGGGTTGGTGACATACCACATGTACAGGAAGAGACCGAAGACTGCGCCCTTGGCTGTCTGCGCGTCGCCAGGGATTAGGCACGCGAAGACGATAATCATCGCTGCGCACTGGCCGAAACTTCCTCCGAGGAAGAGCTTGCGCCGGCCGATCTTTTCGATGAAGAACCAGGAGAATGTGGCGAAGATCGCGTAGCAGATCATGTTGACGCCACCGATGAGCAGAGCGAAGTCGTGCGATTGGCCGATTGAGTCTTCCAGAAGGACCGGCAGGTAGTAGATGACTGCATTACAACCGGAGATCTGCTGGAAAACCTGCGAGGACGAACCAACAATCATCCGGCGGAAGTGCTGCGATGGTCCTCCGGTGAAGAGGTCTCTGAATCTGGCCTTTTCCGCACCGGAACTGGACCGCATGTCAGCTGTGAAAAATGTGATGTGCGAAGTAGGGGGTGCATACGCTCGGACCGAGTCAATGATCAAATGCTTCTCCAGCTGTGTATGATGGTCATTGATCTCCGTACCTGCCAGTGCGGCCAGGACCTTCTCGCCGTCCGCGATACGATCCTGCGCAATCAAGTACCGTGGCGACTCGGGGAGATGCACCATGCCCACGATAATCACGATGCCAAAAACAATTTGGAAGGCGATCGGGAACCGCCAGACCAGGTCTGATGGCCCGTAGTGTGCGCCAAAGTCGATCCAGTAGGCGATCATGGTCCCAATAGCAATAATGCCTCCCTCGATGCAGATCAGCAGACCTCGATTGCTCGTTTTGGAACATTCGGCTTGATACGTCGGGATGGTTGACGTATTCATTCCATTGCCAATTCCAGTGATGACACGGCCGAAGATGAACTGGAGCAGAGGAAGTGAGCCTGGGAATGACGTGACTTGGATAATCACTCCAACGATCATCACCGATGCGCCGCAGATGACCATTTTCCGGCGCCCGAGGATCTCGCCGAAGATCAAGGCGAAGATAGCGCCGAACAGACAACCTATCGACGGTGAACTGGGTTAGGGTCCAGTGGCGGTACATAGTGGCACAGACCAGTACTGACCGACTTCATAAACGGCTGTCACAGTCGCTTGCATGGTGTTGTCGCCTTTGGTTGCTTTAAAGACATTGTTGAATGACGGGTCAGAGATGATGCCAGACATCACACCCTCTGCCATTGTCTCTGTTAGCATGGATCAATCAACCCACCCATGCCACTTACGATCATAACCAAACAGCAAAAACCCCATAGTCGCTATGGTTGATACAGTCCAGGACAGTTTCCGCCCGGACATACCAGCAAAAGTGGGCGGCGCCATGGTGATGAATCGGTGATCATTCGACTCAAGGACAATGTGAATGAATTCATGTAAACACTTGAGCACCCGCGCGAGGCAGACCCATAGAAATAGTTAACTGGCATATGGACATGAACTATGAAGTCAGAGTGGACATCGTTCGCTTAGTCAAAGCGAGAAAGTCATAGAGTTCGATACCGAGTTTCCTAATGCGGTAATTGAAGAAAAGTACGGAGTAAGGCCATAGGCTTTCCCAAGATCTGCATGGATCCTTTATCCATGGTTGTGGGTCAGTCTTCAATAGAGACGTAATTGGTCAACCTTTCATTTCTCTCTCTGCTCATTTTTCATCCTTCTCCTCCGTTGATCTCATCTTTGGCACTTTTGCCCGTCATAAATATCAGCTTCTGAGTACAGGAGAGCTGAAGGCGACCATAAATCCCTCGCACACTCTAGCCAAATGCTCCTGCTCAGCGTCCTCGAAGTGAGCCTGAGCAGAATGAGCTTTGAGTACAACTGCAGTTCGAATAATACCGCTCATGATGTATTAATGATGTCTTTTTCGAGAATTGATCCCCATTCTCCAGAGAAGGAGAAACTGTGTTTGGTCGTGATGGAGAAACGGGAGAAAATGATGTAATTGCTACCCACCTGATGAAAGCCCTAAGTACCCACAAGCCGTGCAAAAAAAGCAGTCGACGAACCATGATTTCCGAGCTTGGTTTTTTGGGAAAACTCAATTCCTTGATAAGCTTGTGGAGATTCTGTTCTTACGGTCATTGATTCCGATATTTCATCGTTTCATTCGTTCGACTGGCTTATTAATCGGAGATTCTGAAGGCATACATGAGGCATACATGAACCATACATGAGGTGGACTTGAGGCAAGAGTGAACCGGTCTCCCTGCAACACAAGTATGCAGATGATAAAGGAATCTGAGATGGAAAATGAAATCCTTTTAGTCTCAGAGGTCCAGATTGTACAACGCTTCAGGAAGATGCTCGCAATTCAACATGGGGAAGATCGACGCCATGCTAGCCGGAAATGACGGGAAAATGAGCACCACCTGTCGCCTTGTCCAGCCGGGAGCAGGTCGCTCAGAGGCCGCTGCAGATACAAAAAGATTGGCATACTGATCTGAGAATGATGTGAAGCGAGTGGAGAAAATCCAAGTCAGTACATATCAGCGATCATGATCATGATCAGGAGTCGACGCTGGGGCATCCGAGGCAAGAGATGAGTAAACCGGCAAACGCTCCTCAAAATAGCCTGGCAAGGTCGAATTTGCTGCATGCGTGTAGCAAGAGCGGAGTGTCAAGGGGACCAGTTTCTCAAAAGGTTTTGTAGCGGGGCTGCCATTGATGAAAACGTACACCTGAAACTGTATCCAGATAGTCAGATTAAAGACAGCTCGTACCAAGCTTGTTGATACAAAAGGAACAGTTTGTGTCCAAACATAGAAAGTAGTGCAGTCATGAAGGTGAAGCAGGATGTGGAAAGTATAGTTTTGATCAGCTTAGTCTTACCTCCAAGAAATGCGTTACTTCGACACTCCGAAGTTTGGTGTCATAGTGCATAAACCTGCAGTCTGAAGCATCTCTGTGCGACTTGCACTTAGGCATATTTAGCGTGAGGTCGAGGTCAATCGTTTGGCTCGGAGGAAGAGAATCGTCGTCTGGAGTGTCACAGTTGTTAGAAGACATGGGGAATCTTGTCGATTTTGCTTCAAATGTGTCGAGCTCCTTTTCAGGGAGTTCGCCCTCTGGTTGCCAGTGCACTTCCGGTCTGAGGTCGTTATCCCGCGTCTCATGTAAGAGACGCCTTTTATAAGGAGCCTTACCGGCCCGCGTCCCATCCCGCATAAAATATCTGACGTCCTCAACCAGAAAGACGTGAAGTTTGCGGAACCTGGTGTCATTGTACCCTTTAAACTTGAATAAAACGGGAAGGCAATCCTCTAGAGCGATTCCTTTCCTGGGAAGTGTGATGTCCACATGCAGAACTCCGTCAACATGTAGCGACCAATTGCCGCCCACGGAGTCTTCGACGTAAGCATCGGCTGGGCAGCGAACAGCGTCGACCTCTGTCGATTTGTACATCCCCCTGAGCATAAAGTGACACTGGACGCTGGCTTTGAGATGGTAGCGAACTATCGTTCCCTCAACGAATGTTGATTCGGGCAGGCCGGAATGTAGTATCATTTCAAAATCATAAGAGTACTTCCCAGGTGAAAAGCATTTGGAGTTGACATCCGGTTCGGTCCTTGGGGAACGTAGGTGGAGCTTGTCAGCCAGTTTGCACACGGTCTTGAACCTCTTCTGCGGCGCTTCAACTTCTGTGATGGGTTTCTCGGGCTCTTTATACTGAAACTGAATCTTGGAGTCCTTCTTCGAATTAAATAGTGTCAAAGGACAATTGACAATGCTTCCCATTTCGCGAATCCCTGCCCCAAGAGTCAATGTTAGTCAGCACAGCCATCACGGAGTATAAGGAAGTGGCTAATATCAGTTCTTACGATTGGGCCATCTGATATACGAGAAACCATCCAGGGCCACCATGACCTGTTTGATTTTCAGCGGCCGTTTTACAATCAACGTGCAGCGGCCCCGAAGCACAACAGGCCTGTTGCCCGTAGCCTCGGGCAGGAAAAAGGCAGGCTCAGTCAGTTCCAAGACAATAGCGAGTTTCCTCTTCTTGTCCAAGTCGCGAAGTATCTGAGTCACGACAGTAGGAGTGTCATTGTGAAACCAGTACATATCAATTGCTGACTCCATCTCACCGTCGAAGGAGTAGAAGAACACAAATGAGCTTGTTCGTGATGTGAGCTCTTGAAGACCCTCAAGACGGTAATCCTCAAAGTGTTAAACGGATTATTCTAAACCTCTTGAACACTTGACCAAAGTCAGTGTTGCTTTCAATCAATCTCCGATTCGCAGTAAAACTCAAGTTATTACATCAAATATCAGTCGAGAATTGTTGAGCTTACCCTGTACTGTGTAACCACGAGCTTGAACCCATGGGAAGGCTATCCGGGAGAGCTTATTGGAACGATCGACTGGCAGAGTCGTGGGGATATTGCTTTGTAGTACCGAAGAGTGCGCAGAAAGAAGGGGATTGTCATGTCACTACTGAAAAGATGAAAGGAGAAAAGGGAAGATTATTAGTGTGCAGGTGACATCGCATCGTTTGATTTGATAATCGCAAATCATGAGCCACTGCGAACATAAACAAGTAAAAACTCGCTGTTGTATCTAGATGAGTGATGTCGCTATTAGGTCCAGAGTGAATGAACCCAGGTGAACAATACATTCTCCTTTATATTGAGTAGAGCGTAACTAGCATATGTTATAAAGAAAGTAAGACTGTTCTATAATACATGATCATATGGAAATTATAGGAGAATCATGATTAAAGGAGGAGGCTGTAATGATAAGGGTTATCTAGCTCTCCCCAGGTGCGGCAAGGGCCCGGCAAGCCTGCCGAATTGTGGGGTGTTTAACGCTAGCCGCTCGGACCACATGGTATCCAGACCATAAGATTCCAAGAGCTCTTATCTTTCGGTCTACTGAGTACTTTTGGACCTCATATCTCCCTTATCCTTGTAACTAGAGGGTGGATCTTGATAATGATATTTAAATCATAGAACTTTGATGGCTTTGAGAAACCACATCGTCCAGGAGCTTCTCTGAAGTTGTGAGAGTTTCTTCGCAGCCTTTCGGTGGTTAGCTGCATCTAACGAGGTCAGAAGAGCAATTTTTTCCTGAGCCTCTCGCATTTCCGGCCAGAATCTGTTTCTGCTTTTAAGTCCCAGACTCCGTAACAGATGTTCAAATATCATTTCTTCAAGTTATTGTGATCTTGGCTCAAGAGGCTTGATCACCTGCAATGGTGAGATCTTATTTTCCTGTCCGTCACAATTGTCTCCGCAGTAATTTATGGCTTGGTAGTCATCTTGATATCTCCATGATCGTGTCGCAATTAAGGCAATCCCGAAAACGCCAACCAACCATAAGATATTTGGCCAAGAGGAGCCTCGAGAGAACTGCCATCAGGGAAAATATCTTTCTCGTTTATGAAGATAGATGCTAAGAACGGCCATAGAGGACGTTACGGATATAGCTCCTGGCACTCTGGACAGGCGGATGGCGTTCTAAACATCCTTGAAAATGGCGAATCCTCGATATATAGACACCGAATCTGACAACTCGTCGCATAATGCCAGGTGAGATTTATTTCTCAAGTCTTCGACAATCCATATGACGTCCGGGTCGAGATCTTATTGAAAATCGTCAACCGCGTTGCGCATTTCCAGAGGCCAAACGAGTAACGTACACTACTGCTTGCAGACAAGATACCAGGCTTTGAAAGTCCACACAGTCTCCTGGTTCAATGAATCACATCTCTTGGTAACTCCTTCGTGCGTTCAGCATCCCTGCCATTGAGACTAACCTCTGAAAGGGAGAGAGATAAAAGCCAGAATTTGTTTCTTACTATCGATATAATGGCAGGCGCGTGCGAGTAAACCACGCAGAGAACCATAAGACACTTTGACACAAACCATCAACATCAAGATGGCCATCCTCGAGGCGCAGTACTTGAATTTTTGAACAGCTCAGACGACGAATCACGGATTTCGCGAGCCGAGGAACGATTCTAGCGACAGTGTGTTGAATTATACCAGGCAGATCAAGGAAAGCTTTTGACGAGTCGTGTTGACACATGGACGATGGAGACGGGACAGTTGATATCTCATCAAGATATGTCCTCCTGTATTGCTGCTCACACAACAAGTTATGGGTGAATGGCTTGATCTTGATGGAGACTCTGGAAACTGGAGAATCCCAATTCACTGGTCAGATTGTATTCAAGCGACATCGCAATAAGCTCTTGCCATCCATCCTCGGATGCATCCATATCGCAAGGGGAGCGAGTTCACCGATTAATATATATAGCATGTAACCATACATTACAATTCCTTAGGTATTCCTGAATTCCATGAGCTCCCTTGCCCGTTCGTTATAACTCTACATAGGTGCTGTAGTAGGCGCTGGAGACATCATCGGGCATGGTAGGTTAGGGCGGCGGTGCTTTACGCATATTCGTGCACGACTACGCTAGATCGCAATTGGTACCCAGAAACAAACCATGGAGGCATACAAAGTAGTTCTTAGACAAACAGCTTCGCAGAGCCCTGGGAGTCTCAGTCAAAAGGTGTACGCAGATGGAGGAACTACCTTGATACTGTCTTACTAGGTCGTCTCCGTCAAAGATCAACTGTGGAGATACTCGTGGGTCCCCTATCGAATGACACTTTCACCCCGACGAAGTTGAGGGGATCTTATGCAATGCAAGAATTGCGAAGTAAGCCTAGGCAAGTGCAAACACTTCTATGTTACTCTGCATATATGTACTCGCTACATTACTAGCATGAGTCTCGAGTTCCGGGAGCAGATCACATTGCTTCTCCGCATGCGACCATGATCGGCGGCGATGACGGGATTCTGCCTGCGCGCAATATACGAAGTAGTTGGTTGTTTGTAAAGACAAACGGAAGAATAAAAATAGGGTGGTAGATAAAAATTTGAAGTCTGATTTCACTTTTCAAACTCTCTGTCGCATTCTGCTTTTGTGATTCATTGATAATTTGTTTGAGGTTTTGACAGTCGTTACCTAGGTACATCTGTCACCCTCTGTTTTAAGGAGTTTCAGAGGAGGCAAATTGCGGTTGCGACCGTGGGCCAGACCAACAATCAAACCAAGAGTCAAAGCACCAACTCMTAGTTGAACTAGAGATTTGACTACCCATCACCCATTCGTCTTTGGTGCTATCTACTCTGACCATTTTTGTGTGTTTCTAGTTTGCTTTTCCCCCTCTTCATCCTTGCCTGACTCGTCTGTCCTGTTACTGAGACTACTACCAAGTAGTCCTCCAACTCTCCTACGACTCCACCTCTGTGATTCCTCCTTTACGTCTCCTCCTTTACGCAAGTGCTTTGTCGCACCACCATAATTCTATTTCTCATTTATCTATTGATATCTCTGTTTCTTCTTCTCTGTATTTTTCGGTTGCGAGTCTCGAATGTATTCGTCAGTTGCCTCCCTCCCACGCCTCGTTTAAAGCGACTTTCTCGCCAGCCGTTCCCCCCTTCAAGGACCCCCTCTCCTAAGTTCGCGGAAGGCACATCCAATCGTTTTTCATTTCTTTCTTTGACGTTGTCTATTCTTTCGCTTCTGCTCTAATTCCCGCGATTCGATTGTGAACGGCGATTTGAAACGCACTCGAGATGTCTTCTCACGACACTCACCCTCCGCAATCGGACATTGCATCACCAGGGATCAAGGACGAAGCTCCATCTGCAACGCTCGAATCGCCTCAAGGATCACAGCAACAATCGCATACCTCCGCAGTTTCTTCTTCGGAACCTGTCCAAAACGCCGCTGTTCCTGCTCCTCAGACCGAGAACACCCAGAAAAATGATAATGCGGAGAGCACCCAAGCCGCTGGTGTCTACGATAGCAGTACGCCGATTATCACCGCCCAGCAGAGCATCAGCGACGCTTCTCCAACGAATGACAAGCCCCCAGATACCGCAGGACTAGATACGGCTGATACGCCAGTCCCTGAGCCATTACCTGGAGCATCAGACGCCGCCGCGAAGGAAGTGGAGGATTCCGGCCCGTCGTTGAACATCACACTCCTTTTGACAACAGGATCACGTCATCCTTTCGAGATTGACGGGAAATATTTACGAAAGCGGGGTATCAATGTCGAGGGTAACGATCCGTTTGCTATGAGTGTATACACACTGAAGGAACTGATATGGAAGGATTGGAGACAAGGTAGGGAGCGGAGCTGTCGGCGTCCACTGCGCAACGCAGAATACGAAGGCCGGACCGTATGCTGATGATTTTACGTGTCTGACAGATTGGGAATCGCAACCAACCTCTCCTAGTTCTATCCGATTGATTTCGTTTGGCAAGTTGCTGGATGACAAGTCCCCTTTATCAGGTAGGCGACAAACTACGTAAACGCTGCTCTAGACTTTTTGGCTGACGTACTGCGTCTCAGACTGCAAGTTCAACAAAGATGCTCCCAACGTGGTACATATGACAGTCAAGCCTCAAGAAATTGTCGACGAAGAAGACGCCAAGGCAGCCAAAGCTCCGTATAGCCGGGAACGTGAGTCCAGTGAACGCAGTCCTGGATGTCGTTGTATCATCCAATGATATCTTTAAGTCTTCCTACCATTGAAGGAGGGTTATGTGCCTTCCGACGGCATTTGGTGATCTCCATATCTGTGCTTGTTTGTTCATATCTGCTCGTCTGTCTTTTCGATCTTTTCGTCTCTTTTGATACATGGTATCTGATTTGTCATATTGGCTGACCATACGCAAGGGCTGGCGTCATGGATATCGCGATTGTGCTCTAACATCTGGTTTTTGCGGTTTCTGATTGTATTTCCCGATCTACCTTTCTGTTTCGCATCTATGTACAGGCTTCGATTGCTTCTTGTGTCCCATCCTCCGTGTCCCTATATACCCCCTTCTTTCCCATCTTGCCATTTATTCGTCTCTAGTCTCGTTCTTAGCTGACAACAACGCCATGGCCCTTTTGGTTTACTCTTGTCCGGTTACTGGTTCTCCTTTCTGGTGGCTTTCTCTTGGCATTTGCCCAAACTACCCCCAGTCCTTTCATTCAAGCGTCTTTCCAAACTGTTATGGGTGGGTGTCTCTGGCAATCGTCCTCTGACATTGCTATCAATCGGGCAGAATCCAGTCTGCCTCATTCTCATTATTCAGAGAGCAATGTATAGTCTGATCATCGCTCAAGGACATAGTCATTTTTTCGTTAGGTCACCCTGAGGGCCAAGTTGGAAATCGGAATGATGTACAGAACTCAGGTGGACATAAATGAACCCATGAAAGCCGTTTTCGAAGTTTACCAGCAATTACCCAAGTTCATGCAGTGATACAGAGTCTTAGTGTAGCTTTCCAGGGCAATTTGCCAAACATCGCAGAGAAACAGGTCTTAATATCTCAAGGTCTTTATTGACACTGTATCAGAAACTTAGGCTCACGGGAAAATTAAGCAGAACAGGCAGAGCAAGCCGATACCCAATCAAAACTCCACCCGGAGTCTCTTCTCCATCTCATCATGGAAGGAAGGCGGTTCCCTGAATTCGTCTCCTACATCAAAAAATATTAGCATCGTCATTTCGGCAGCGGAGACCCGGACATGCAACGAACCTTGGAAAATATCCTCCCAGCCAATCTCTGTATCCCGTCCCCCAAGAACCAGAATGTCCTCGTGCACATTACCACCTTTGTTTCCGCCTAGCACAGCAGGCCGGAAAGTGCCGTCCCGCACGATCTTGAGTTCCATGCCGCGCCGCACAGGTTCGCCGATCCCGTATGCCCGGCGGAGCGTCTCCATCTTCATGGCGTCCTGGGTCTGGCGCCAGGCGAGTAGGCGGGCTTCGAGCGGGTGTGTCGATGAAGGGGTGGCGGTTTGGTTGCTAGAAGGGGGACCCACGGGTGCTGGGAGGGTGATCTTGTTGCGGAGGGTGTCGGGGAGACCGGGGGCGGATGGAGCGCCTTTTGATGGGCGAGCAGTGGGGTTTCTGGTGGTTGTGTTGGAGGCTTGGGTAGCGTAGTTTGCTGGGGGTGCTATGCGGAGAGACTGTAAATGCGTTAGTGACAGTGTTCGAGGATTGCAAGCTTGATTGTCTGGTAATGACCATGGCAATTGAGAGGATAGGACATACCATTTTGACGGTGGTGATGCTGAAGGTGTGGATTTATGGATGACAAGCTTGAATTAGGGATTTATAATCAATGGATCTTCTTAGTCTATGAAGAAGACAGATGGAAGTTGTATGACGAAGGTGGTGAAGTCAAGGTGATAGCTGAGTAGGTTGATATCGTAGGTAGCTCTAGCATTACGATAGTCACTAGCCTGAGATGCCAAGGCTCCAACCGCATAGCGCGTCCAGCTTCTCCGGGCCCGCAGAGGAACCATCTCGGCAGCCAGCTTATGCATTCGTCTCACGTGATATTATCGAGAAATTATCCCGTACTCCGTGTCAACGCCGCGATAGAGAAGTTGAAGGGGAAGTTCAATTTCATCCTTACACACACCACTGCCACAATGCCACCGTTTATCTCTTCCCTCGCCCTCCGCACCCTGCGGACCCTAGTCCAGCGGCCTTCTCTCACAGCCATCCCGGCAGTCTCGAGGCCAACCATCTCCCGGTTTCAACCCGTCCTCCGCACACCCACAGCCGTTACAGCAGCAAGAGTCGCAGGTGCAGGCCCTATCACCCGTCATTTCTCCACCTCCCCCTTCCGCCAGGCAACCTACAACCAAGTCCGTCGCGGATGCCGTGTATCGCAGCGAGCGCGCCGCTCGCGATCCCCCGCGCTCATTGGTAGAGCCCAGATGAAGGGCGTCTGCCTGAAGACTGGTATCACGAAGCCCAAGAAGCCCAACTCCGGTGAGAGGAAGACTGCAAGAGTACGGCTGAGCAGTGGGAAAGTGGTGACGGCGTACATTCCCGGTGAAGGTGGGATTCTTCCGAGTGTCAACTGTCAACTCGATAGGCGATTGTGCTAATAGTGGCTGCCGTGTGTAGGTCACAATGTTCAGCAGCACAGTGTGGTTCTCGTCCGTGGGGGTCGAGCCCAGGATTGCCCTGGTGTTAAGTACCACTTGGTCCGGGGAGCGATGGATCTGGTATGTGTCGCGCGCGGTGTTTTGATTGTAGTTGGTGGTTTGGTCCGTTGCTAATGCCTGATTAACAGGGCGGTGTTGCGAGTCGGTTGACGAGCAGATCGAAATATGGTACGAAGAAGCCCAAGAAGGATTAGAAGCTCAGAAGTCGGTCCTGTGGTCACTTTTCATTGCGAGTAGAGGGATGCCGATTCCCACATTGTACAATTTGTTCCAGAATTCTCATTTTAACAATTGGTCAGGTTGTCGTCACTTTTCTGTCGTTGAACAGCTATGTACATTTTATGATGCAGTTTGCTAGATGGGCCATGTTTTCTTCCTCTGACATGATATCAGAAAGCCCATAACACAAAACATCATCCTTTTATATCCTCCGATGCTCCATAAACATATACTAACCCAAACAAAGTAGTCCGTAAAATCAGAGCAGCGAGCAGCGAATTCAGTAGTCAAGTGTACTCAGAGCTGAATGGCGCCGAACATGAAGAAGGTCAAATTGAAGACAGCTATCGGTAATTCGTACTGACGCCAGCATTGCCGATGACCTCCAAGGGCAGACCACCGCCAGGTGATAGATACTCCTGGTTAAGATGATGGTATCATATCACAGACGAATTTGAATAGATGATAGGCGGTATGGACGATGCGCACTCGGAAAAGAAAGAGCAGTCCAACAAAAGAACTCACTATAATGAAGGCCAGACAAACCTTACCCAGCACGGCTAGTCAACTTTGCTCTTCAGCACCCTCTGGCTTCTCCATATCATTGATCTGGAACCACCGGGATGTGCCTGAACACATTGAGGTTAATGGACGTCTCAAGAAGGCGGCAAGTGAACTTACAGGAATACCCCTTCCAATCGAAATTCTCGCTAGGATTACAGTGGCATTTCAGGTCCAGCCTCATCTGCTCACTGGTCGGGCAATGTGTGAAGGGAATGTGATAGTATGCAATCTCGTTGAAAAAGTGTATCTCTTCCTTCTTGAGCATGATGCCGGCCGCAATGGAATGAACTGGGGCGTCTCCCCATCGCTCATAGAAGAAGCCGCCGTCGTGGTCAAGAGCATCAAAGTAGTCGATATACTGCTTCGATCTCAGCCACTCTAAGCTTCCAATCTCAAAGTTGGACCACTGAGCAAGATGACCAGTCAGGAACAGCAATAGCAGGACTTGTAATGACGGCAACTCACAAAGTGACATTTGTTGTATGTCTTCCCTCCATCATCACTCAAGAAACCCATCGCATTTCCCTCTGCAATGTGCTCGGGGTGATTGCCAATGAACTTCTTGGCGCTATCCCATAGACTGGGAATGGTGTCGTAATATTCATACAAACTAAGAACGAAACTGTACTTCTTGTTCTGTTCCTTCATAAACCGGAACGGGTCGAAGCTGATATCGCAGTAAAGCTCAATGCTGGGCTCCACGCGCCAGTAGTACTCGTAGTTCAGCATCAGTGGATGGCGGAAGAAGAAACCGGACTCGTAGCGGCACATGTGGCGGTAGCTCTCGGAGTCACCATAGATGATGTTCTTCTGTTTCATTTCCTCTCGAACCTTCTTGGCCTTCTCTTGATCGATCCAATCGGGGTACGACCAGTGCTCCTTTGGAATTTCACCATAGAATGTCTTTCCAGACACCAGGGATGTGGTGACCTTCTTAAAAGTGTCGTCAAATGGCTTGTCGTTGAGAAAGACCCAGTCATAATGGTAGTTACGGTTGAAGCGATCCTCGACCTGTCGGATCGATTTCGCAATATCCCAGACATCGGAATTGCGAGCCAGCGTGACAAACGTCGCATTTACTCGGCCATCTGGCGCAATATTCGTGCTTTCCGGAGTCTCCTTCACCGGCGGTTTTGGTGCCGCGTCATTGTGCGCTTTGTCAGATTGTGAGACGGTATCTTTGTAATTCGCGGGATTCAACTTCGATCCGATATTTTCGGGGATGGGAATTGAACTGCGAGAGATTAAGAAGAATACTGCCAACCCCTGGTACTGCGTCAGTTGCACTGCGAGAGGGCATGGGGGCGGAAATTCAAGGACCGACGAACCACCACAGCAAAGACCAAGTATCGCATATATTTCGGACCCGAAGACATGATGAATCTCTCACTCTGCTATCGGGCAGGAGATCCCTGGCTGAGAAGAAGGTTGACGATCAGAAGGATGATGTTGCCTGCTGCGGAAGCTCGTACAACAGATGGGCGAAGGTGACTTTGATCAACGAAATCGAAACGAATGACGAGAAAAAGAATAGGAAAGGCACGGCCAGAAGATACTAAAGAAATTTCGATCAGGCCTAGAGAAGTTGCTGAACTGGTCTTTGCGTCGTCAAAGCCGACGGATTTGGTGCGACGCCAACGAGGATTAAAGGATCAAAAGGGGATGTGGAACAATGACATTCACGTTGACTTGGCCTTGATAGACCGGGCCAAGCCAGTCTTCAAGTCAGAAATTATCGTGATTGATTAAGATTATTGAGATGAATGTGAAA